GCTGTATAAAATCCGCCCCCTGATTACCCACTTCGCTGCCAGGTTTGCAGAGGCTTATATATCGGGAAGGAATATATGCGAGGATGAATCCCTGATGAAGTATAAGGGAAGGCTGGGATTCAAGCAGTATGTTCCTTCCAAGCGCTCTAGGTATGGTGTAAAGATGTATAAGCTCTGTGATAGCGAGACTGGGTATACTCAAGCCTTCCGGGTGTACGAGGGAAAGGATAGCCACCTTGACCCTCTAGGTTGCCCAGAACATATGGGAACCAGTGGCAAGATTGTCTGGGACCTGATATCCCCCCTGATGAACAAAGGGTACCACTTGTATACTGACAATTTTTATACAAGTGTCCCTTTGTTCAAGCTACTGTACTGTTTTGATACAGTAGCTTGCGGCACAATCAAAAAGAACAGCACAGATTTCCCAGGACAACTTGCACGCACCCGGCTACGAAAGGGGGAGACCTCAGCTCTGCGCCAAGAGGAGCTGTTGGCAGTTAAGTACAGAGACAAGAAGGATGTGTACTTTCTTACCATCATCCACACTGAGGGGACTGTGGAGGTCCTTGTATGTGGCAGAGCTGAGAGAACAAGGAAGCCAGTGTGCATCAAGGCCTATAACCGGCATATGGGTGGGGTTGATCTGGCAGATCAGCTGCTGCAGCCCTACCTAATTATACAAAAAAGGTTGTACAAAAAGGTTGCAATCTACCTAATGCAGATTGCAACCCACAACGCTTTCTTGTTGTTCAAAAAAGCAAATCCCAGGACGCAACTGAGATTGTTACAGTTTCAGCTCCAGATCACTTTGGGTATTTTATACCGTGATGCACCTGCTCCCCGGGCGGTGATGGGAGAGAGCAGAGTTGGGGCTACACATTTTATTTTTAAAATTCCCCCTACTGCGGCAAAGCAGAATCCCCAAAAAAGATGCAGGGTCCGTTCTAAGAGAGGGCAGAGAAAAGATAGTGTATATCACTGTCCTGATTGCCCTGGACAGCCTGGACTCTGCATTGGAGACTGCTTCAAATGATACCACACGCTGGTCCATTTTTAATTTATTTTGTAACATTTGCCGTTCAGTTTTTTTTGGTGTCTTTTTTTTGGGGGGGGTGGGTTGTTACATTTACCCCCTGCATAGGGGGCATGGGTGTCCTTAGGAGGCCTTGCAGAAAACAACCTGGGGTGTTTTCTTGAAATAACCAACAACTGGTTCTGCTAAATCACAGTCAAAAAGCAGTGTGCGCGTGTAGGAATGAGGATTGAACAGTTACCTCCACACACGTTCTTCAACTTTTTTATTTTTTGTCTGGCTAAAAAAAAAAAGTTGCATCAAAGCACTCCACATGCAATACCTTGGGGTGTCTACGTTTCAAGTATGTACCCTTTCATGGCGATATATAAAACTGGGGTATGTGATAAGCCCCAAGCTAAAGATAGGCCTATCAGAAGAAATACTCTCAATTTCAACTCAAATTGCAAGTCATACAATTGTAACCGTACCTTCCCAAAATCCTGGCAAACCTATGCATGGGGGGCATGGGTGTCCTAAGGAGGCCTTGCAGAAAACAACCTGGGGTGTTTTCTTGCAATAACTAACAACGGGTTCTCCTAAATCACAGTCAAAAAGCAGTGTGCGTGTGTAAAAATGAGGATTGAACAGTTACCTCCACACACATTCTTCAACTTTTTTTATTTTTTGTCTGGCTAAAAAAAAGTTGCATCAAAGCACTCCACATGCAATACCTTGGGGTGTCTACATTTCAAGTATGTACCCTTTCATGGCGATATATAAAACTGGGGTATGTGATAAGCCCCAAGCTAAAGATAGGCCTATCAGATGAAATACTCTTAATTTCAACTCAAATTGCAAGTCATACAATTGTAACCGTACCTTCCCAAAATCCTGACAAACCTATGCATGGGGGGCATGGGTGTCCTAAGGAGGCCTTGCAGAAAACAACCTGTTGTACCTATACACACGTTCTTCAACTTTTTTGACTTAAATGATTGCATCTAAGGCATCAAAACAGTCCATATACAATACTGTGGGGTGTCAACTTTTCAAATATATGCATGCTCATGGCAAGAAAATACATTGGGATATCTGATAAGTCCCCCAAAAGGAAGACAGGCAAACAAGATATGTAAAATTTGAAAAACGCATATCAGACATTTTGCTTTGCACCCCCCAGTGAACCCGACACACGTATGCATGGGTGGTATCGCTGTACTCGGGAGATGTTGCCGAACACATATTGGGGTGTCCTTTGGCAGTAACACCTAACAGGAGCTTAGAATCTATGCCCAAAGTAGAATGTGTGAGTGAAAAATAACACCACAAACGTTTGACAGAGATTGGTGGTAGAATTAGTGCATGTAAAGTGTTGAAATGCCACCATGTGAAATGCCCTAGGGTGTGTACTTTTCAAAAACATACGGTTTGAAGGGGATGAATTACATTGGCCGGCTTCAGAAATGTTCCAACTGGGACATGGGTGCATGATGGATAGCTGTGTTTTATTTTTCCATTTTTCATCATATTTTACTTTTTTTATTCTAGTAAATTATGTGATATGATGAAAATAGTGGTATCTTCAGAATGAACATTTAATAGCGAGAAAAATGGTATATAATATGTATGGGTACAGTAAATGTGTAAGAGGCAAATTACATCTAAACACAACCACTGCAGAAATGTAAAAAAAAAAATTGAAAAATGGCCTGGTCACTAAGGGGTTACATACAAGTGTTTAACACCCATTATTATTATCATGTCCCATGTATTAAGATGGGTGAGTTATCAGCATAAAATGTGGCAAACATCCTCCAGTATACGATGGACAATGTTACTTTGAAGTTGGTAACCCCACGGTAAAGATTGTATAGTCAAAGTGGGCGATCGCATATATTTACTGTATGATAGCCTCATAGCCCACATCAAAGGGTACTGCAGAGGGGTCTCCCCTCTGATGAATCTCACTGGCGAAACGCGCGCGTCAGGGGTTCTGGACACATACTGACACATTATTGGTGTCGGCATCTAACTTTCCGCTTATCAATTGCGACATCAAGTGCATTTAAGTTCAGTATTTCAGGAGTGTGTATTGGAAACTTCTTACACTGTATAACTGCACTCTGTGTATATACTTTATTTCTCTTTCTTTTTCTTTATTACACTTTATGGGGGGAAATTGAATAGACCAGGCATTTTATTAAGGGGTGCCCTTGAAGGCACAAGACTCAGGAATTTTATTCTATACGTCTTCCTCTGTCACCTACTATATTATTATATTTTTTCTATCACTTAGGCAGCCTGTTTGTAAGGTCTATAAATCTTTTTTTCTTTACACTTGGATTTAACATCTTAATGCAGTTATCATTTAGGCAATGTTTGTGACTATCAACGGGTTAACTGCTGCCTGTCAGCAGTTCTTCATAGCTGATCTACAAATTTTTGTTCCGCTGTGGTCAATGTTACTATACTATTGGCAACCCCTTATCTCATAATTTGCTGCCTGATAGCAACCTTTCATTTATCATCCATACACTGCTAGTTCTAGGCAGCTTTCGTTACATTTAACTAGCTAATTGCTGTCTGTCAGCAGCATATCTCAGCTGAACACTAATCATAACACTGTTTTAGCAGTCTTTGATTCTCCCCCCTTTGCTATAGTTAGTAGTGATACATTACAAAGTATCACTTGTATAACTTGTATGGTTTTTGCATTATAATTTTTACAGTTCATATTAATAGCCACTGAGCTTTACACGCTGGATTGTCTCCAATTACTCCTGTTGCTTTTATAATTCTTTCTTTTTCACATTTATTTTAGATTAATTTATTAAAAGTTACTTTTTAAAGCTTACAATTCTTTCAGCAAACTATACACAGGTAGAACGGCACTTTTTTTTCTTTTTTTGTTTAAAAAACATAACATATAAAGTGGGGAAAATGTAATTAAATACATTCTATACTCTTGAATACAGATGTTATTATTATTATTAAGCCTAAAAATATTGAAACCTTGTAATGTTACAACTTAAGACTGTGTGGTCTTTAAAGAGACCCAGACATAATAATTAAATGCGGCCGTAAGTGTATTCCCTCTCTAAATACATGATTCCAGTGAATATGATATACAGTTTATGGATAAATAAATAATAAACAATCCTTGAAAAATTCTATTGTATAAACCCTATTACATACCGATAAAGGGAATGAACGTAAAGTCCTCATTGAGACCTTTGGGTGTCAGACTGCCTCGTTTATGAAACCAAAAGCACTCTCTTTTTTGAGAGCTAAATCTAAATCACCTCCCCTCTTGCCTAAATTTATTCTTTTAATACCTGAAAACTTCATGCCATGATCCTGGTCTAGGGGCTGGAGAGGGATGTGTGAGCTGTGCCCCATGACAGCTGGGGTGCCGGGTGGCCGGCACAGCTCACAAGTGCAGAGACCATCAATTACTAGCTGAACTGGCCGTGCAGAACGAAAGTGGGGGTGGTGCTAAGAAAAGTCAGGGTGGAGCCAAACCGGCAGCGGGGGCGGGTGTATGTGTGTGAGACTGTCTGTTTGCCTGTAACTGTGTGTGTATGTGTGTGTGAGAGACTGTCTGCCTGAATGTAACTCTGTGTGTGTGTGACTGCCTGAATGTAACTGTGTGTGTGACTGCCTGCCTGTAACTGTGTTTGTTTGTGTGTGTGTGTGTGTGTGTGTGAGACTGTCTGCCTGCCTGTAATAAACGTTTAACTCGCAAGTTGGAATAAACTTGGAATTAATAATAACATTAATAACTAAAAATAATAACTTAAAAACCGAGTGTAAAGTCAGAGTCCACACTCCTTGCTTTCGGCAATTCAATAATATTTATTAATAAAGGCTAATCAAACAAATAAACAATACATATACATTTGAAATAGGCTTGTATATGTTTCTACTAAAACTAATCATTGACTGAATGGAAAGTAGGCTAAATTAACATAGTAAAACAGACATAGACACGTGATACAGTTACCACTCCATTGATCAGCAGCTGAGAGTAAGAGAGAGAGGGTGTGTACAGTGGGGAGAGGGGAGAGAGGAGAGAGAAGGTGAAGAGAGGTAATTCAAAGAGAGAGAGAATGTGCTATTCACAGGGCTTTAAACAGGTTAGCCCCTCCTTCTGCTGGACACACCTCCCTTAGTCAATCCCTTAGGATGTAACAGAACCAGAGTGCCTCCTGGGGGAAGGGGGATTGCATTGGAAGGGAATGGAGGAGGAGTTTATCAACAACCCAACTGATTTTGCCTGGTGAAAGGCCATGTGCTTCACAGAGGACTCCATTATTGCCTAAGGGTAGAATGGGGGCTTGAATCCCTGTATTAGAACACAATAACACTTCATTGGCATACAGTTTGGCTGTTAATCACATCCCCCCACTTATTACACTGCCTGTAACTGTGTGTGTGAGAGACTGCCTGCCTGCCTGTAACTGTGTGTGTGTGACTGTCTGCCTGCCTGTAACTGTGTGTGTGTGTGTGTGTGTGTGTGTGTGACTGTCTGCCTGCCTGTAACTGTGTGTTTGTGTGTGTAACTGTTTGCCTGCCTGTAACTGTGTGTGTGTCACTGTCTGCCTGCCTGTAACTGTGTGTATGTGTGTGTGACTGTTGGTCTGCCTGTAACTGTGTGTGTATGACTGCCTGTGGCTTTGTGTGTGTGTGAGACTGTGTGCCTGCCTGTAACTGTGTGTGTTTGTGTGTGTGTGTGTGTGTGTGTGAGAGAGACTGTCTGCCTGTAACTGTGTGTGTGAGAGACTGTCTGCCTGTCTGTAACTGTGTGTGTGTGTGTGTGTGTGTGTGTGTGTTTGAGACTGTCTGCATGGAACCGTTTGTGTGTGTCTGCATGTGACTGTGTTTGACTGTCTGCCTGTGATTGTGTGATTCTGCCTGTAACTCTGTGTGTGTGACTGTAACTGTGTGTCACTGTATATGTGACTGTCTGCCTGTAACTGTGTGCGTGACTATCTGGCTATGACTGTGTGTGACTACCTGTAACTGACTGTGTGTGTAACTGTCTGCCTATAACTGTGTGTGTGACTGTGTGTCTGTGACTGTGTGATGCTGCCTGTAACTGTGTGTGTGTGACTGTATGCCTGTGATAGTGTGTGTGTGTGTGTGACTGTATATGTGACTGTCCACCTGTAAATATGTGCGTGACTGCCTGGCTACAACTGTGTGTGACTGCTTGTAACTGACTGTGTGTAACTGTCTGCCTGTAACTGTGTGTGTGACTGCCTGTGACTGTATGTGTGACTGTCTGCCTGTAACTGTGTGTGTGACTATATGCCTGTAACTGGGGTGCAGGGATTTGTAGGAGAGGGGCAGGACAGGGGTTTTGTAGAAGGAACTGACAGGGGTTTTACAAAGGTGCCAGACACAGGACCCGACCCAGGTGCCAAATGTTCTAGGTATGCCTCTGCTTAATTGATGAGCTATGTATACACCCTCCAGGGCAGCTATTGGTTGGAGTTACACTTTCTCCAGAACATCTATTGGCTGGAGTCACCATGTGACCAGCTTTCACTAATAGATATAAGGAGACTCAGGTGAGCGGCTGGCTTGAATGCCCCAGACGAAGGCGCTAAAATGCACGTCGGCTTACTACTTTTCTTTATTTTTGATCACTCCAAAGTTATTTTTTAGCACTATAGTGATGTAGATAGTTAAATATTTATTTAATTTGTTGTTTATTAAATTTCAATTTTAAAAAGACATAACAATCAGAGGTGTAAAATCATTTTACATAAATATTTCATAACATTATTTCAAAATTATTATACACTAGCAAGGGTAACTTTACAAAGACTTGTGGAGTGGTCTTCCTATGTGACTAGGTGTGTATAGGTGTAGACCACAATGCGTAAGGGTTCTCTGGTCCATTAAATTGCTATTCACAAAAAACATACACATAAAAAATTAACATACATAAAAAACAATATGGGTATAGATATTACCGTGTATAGAATTTAGAATTAAAGAGTCTGACTATGCGATGGGGAAAAGGGGTAGGGAGGAGGTCGTTGAGACTGTTGAGCATAGTTAACATTAATTTAAAATCTAGACATGGTCATGGGGTCCGTCTATTGTTTTATCTTACATTATTTTTTATTATTTTCTGGTCTATACCCAGTTTATTAATTAAGGATTATTTTTCTTATTATAATATTCAATCCACCTGGACCAAATTTTGTTATATTTCGGAATATTTCCATAGTTCTTTGATGATTAATTTGGGTTATGATTTCGGTTACTGAAGGGATAATTGTACTCTTCCAATATCTGGAGATACAAATCTTTATTGCCATTAATATATTTGTTAGTAAGTATTTTTTCCGGTTTGGTTAAATCAACTATATTTAAGTGAAAAAGGAACTTCACAGGAGTGAGTTCTAGAATCTTTAGGTCTAAGTTTTTAAAAAGGTGTAATACAAATTCTTTAATCGGACTTAAGTTTGTGCAGTCCCACCATATGTGTTTTAATGTCCCAATATCCCTATTACATCTCCAGCATTGATTCGTATATTGGGACCGAAATTTACCTAATCTAGTAGGAAATAGATATAAAAGTTTTCAGTTTGAGAGACGACTGAAATTATCTATACAATCCATTACTGAAGGGATAGAAGTTTCCAGATGAGTGAGTGTTAATATTATATCATCTGCAAATAGGGCATCCTTGGCGTGTACCGTTCTTAATGTCGAACCAGTGTGTATTCAATCCATTGCCAAATACTTTGGCTTTTGGACAAGTATATAATGACATAGCTAAATCTTTAAAAGTTCCTAAAATTCCAAATGCTGTCATTGTTTCATCTAAAAATTGCCAGCTTACTCTGTCGAACTCCTTTTCGGCATCAACAGCAATATCAACAGTTGGTAAATTTCCATTTCTAATCTTTCAATTTAAGTTGGCAATTTCCCGAAGATTACCCCTCCCAATCTTCCTTTTACAAACCCCAATTGATCATTACTTAGTAAGTCAGGAATGACTTTACTTAGTCTATTCGCTAAGATTTTAGATAGTATTTTTATATCTAAGTTTATAAGGGAAATCGGGCGGTAATTCGTGACAAAGTTTGTATCTTTTGTTGCTTTAAGAATAGGTGATATTGTAGCACTTAGTAGCTCTGAAGAGATGCTTCTTGTAGAGTTAAGTTCAGTAAACCATCTATATAATAATGGAGATATTACAGGTTCAAATGTTTTATAGAAAAGAACAGTGAAGCGATCAGGGCCGGGCACTTTCCCATTGACTACATTTTTACTGTCTTAATTTCTTCAATCGATATGTCACTATTTAGTTCTAATAGTTTGTCTGGATTGATTGAAGGAAGAGGGATTTTATTGAAAAATTAATTAAAGTCACATTCAGTGATTTTATTTTCTGGTAAATAATATAGGGATGAGTAGTAGTTTGCAAAAGCATTCCCAATTTGTTGGGGAGAGAGGAGGGTTTTAGTTCCTTCTATAATTTTTTTTATTGATTGTTTTTTCATCTCTGGTTAAAATGTTTTCGAAAGCAACTCCCCTACTTTATTACTATTGTAGTACCATTTTTGTTTACAAGACATAAGCATTTTTTTTAACCAGCTGTGATCAATAGATTTATCTGTTGTTGGATTGTTTTAATTTGAATCGCCGTTTCCATAGATTTTTTTATTTTTATTAATTTGATCAATTCTGATAATTCAGCTCCCTTTTTTTTTCTCTAGCTTCTATTGAATTAAGTTGAATTAAGTTACCTCTCATTACACATTTAAATGTTGACCATAATGTTTCATTAGAAACATTACCTTTATCGTTGAATTCAACGAATTCCTTAGCTAATAGGTGTAAACGATCTCTATTTTCTTTGTTTAATAAAATCGTTTCATCTATTCTCCACTGATGACTAATTCTATAGGCCAGATCTTTTTTTCATTTTGACCACAATTGGAGCGCGATCGGTGCAACTAATTGGACCTATACTTGAATCTATGTAATTTGTTGAATTTACAGAATCAGTTAAGAAAATATCTATTCAAGAATAATTTATGAATTTTAAAAAATAAAAAGTATAATCTTTTTGGCATGGCTGCTGGGTTCTCCATATATCATAAAGGTCATATTGGTTAAAAATATCTTGTAGCCATTCTGCCCTTTTTTTGTAATAAACTTTCATCTTTTTGCAAGCTATAGATGGTTTTCTATCCCATTTTTCGTTTAAAACAGTGTTCCAGTCTCCCCCTATTAAAAGTATACCTTTTTTAATTTTATCAATCTTGTTGCATAACTTTTTATAAAATTTTGGGGAGAACTTGTTTGGAGCGTATACATTTACCAGAGTGTGTGTATATATATATTTTTATTTTATTTTATTTTTTAATTCTTTATTTTGTTGTGCGTGTGAAAAAAAACAAAGAGGCATGCATTGCTCGCGTGTCAATTCAACGTTTATAAACATGTGTTAGGCATACATTAACGGTGCACATTTTATATTATAAAGTATAATAAAGAGAAATCTCTGTGTCAGCTAGAAAAGAAGATAGAGTCGGTACTGAGACAGATTGAAAATGCTGATATAAAGATTGAAAGTCATGTGAGTACAAGTTTAAGTGGGACAGTTCTTTAACTTTAAACAGGCTAATATTATGGAACACGCTAGGATAGATTAATAACTCAAGTGAGAAAAACACATTACTAGCGCTGGCTCATAGAAGGTGTACAAACTGGAGTTGAGACCTAGGTATTGGTTGCATAGACAGAGTGAGAGTAGGAGTATCATGCCTATGAGTAGTAATGAGGTACTTTAGCGTAGCGAGTTAAACTATAGTCAATGCTTAAGCTAAGCGTACTGAATGCGTCTACTAAGATGAAATGTATGTAGGCTCTAAAAGCTGTGAAAAGCATTGTGTGTACTTCCAAGCTGGATTAGGCACACAAATGTGTATGGGTGCGTTTCAACTTGTCTAATATGTGGACGGCATGAGAGAGACAATATATCATAGAACAATACAGGCTATGCTGGGAATATCTGTGCAGTCAAATATATGGTATAGGGCTATTCCAAGCTATGGAAATAAGAAATACATGGCATAGTGCAATATTGTCTGTGGTAAAATGGGTATATGAGTAAATGCCAAATGTTCACTCACACTTTAACATCCCAAGAAATGCCTTCAAAAGTGTGCTTGGTGTGTCTTCTTGCTTCAATATTTG